TTTCTTTATAGTCCAACTCTCACATCCGTACATGATTACGGAAAAAACCATAGCTTTGACTAGATGGACCTTTGTTGGCAAAGTAATGTCTCTGCTTTTTAATACGCTGTCTAGGCTGGTCATAGCTTTTCTTCCAAGGAGCAAGCGTCTTTTAATTTCACAGCTGCAGTTACCATCTGCAGTGATTTCGGATCCCCAAAAAATAAAGTCTCTCACTGTTTCTGCATACACTACTATAACATTAATTATATGCTTCTGGTCTCATAGGGCTGTGAGATACTTGAGAGTGGATTCCATTTCGTGTTCATCTTTCTAGCTCTAGCTCTTGGGACACAGTTGGAGCACAGTAAGTGTTTATTCAATTGAATACATTTGAATTTGTGATGCTAGATGGACTTCCTTATATGAATGACTGGTTCATTCAAAGCCCTCCTGACCCTCCCTCCCATGACAAGGGGTCCGCAACAGCACAGGTCAGTGTGACCACACATAGACGGCAAGCTCAGCCTCTAGAGACGGCTCGGGTCGGCTCTCTCTCAGTATGCACATGCACGCGAAGTACATGAGGGTGTACACACACCCGAGACCAAGCTCGAGTCAGGAACCAGAGGATCGGCTCTGTGCGCTGATGCCCCCACTCGTCCTCGCCCACTCCTGATGGTGACCAGGAGCCATCCTCTCTCCTGTCTTAGGTCAATTTCTTTTCCACATCACGGCTTGGCCATGGGCTACTCCCAAACCCGTCTCTGCCTCTGGGACTTTGTGGAGGGGAGCGCTGGCAGGACCACAGAGAATGTCCATGTTTCCAGGTCCCTGAGCAAATACCACCAGGGGCTCTCCAAGCTCATGACCACCCCTGTCAAGTCATGCGGAAGCAAGGTCAGAAGGCATCAGGACAGACTTGGGAACCCTGGGAGAGATGACTTGAAAAGGCGGGGGAGTTGCTTCTGGAATGTGGGTATAGGGGTGGGAGCAGGGGAGGGGAGGGCAGGGAAAGGCTGAGGAGCCTTACAGTAACTGGCCTGTTCCCTGACAAGGAGATTTAGAGGGTGTTTACAGTTAAACGCATCCATTTGGAGATTCGTGAGGTACATACCCGCAACCAGGGTGGTGGTGACCCACTCAACAAGTCCTTCCTAGGCTCTCCACACTTACTGATACAGGCGCCTCACGACGTCAAGCAGTCTTCTAGGGGACAGGCCACGAGCTGGTGGCCCTGTCTTGGTCCAGTTAAACACTAGCTCAACGCCCAAAAATACACTGAGTTCTTTACTGCTGATTCTCATACAAACACCAAAGAGGGAGGGTCCATTCACCACACACGAAACAGTCAAGTCCCCCTTCCCAGTGTCCCCACTCTGCACCCTCACACCCATCAACCACCCCGAAGCCTTATCCTCTCCACTCCGAGCTCCCAAGTCCCTCACACCCAGCTCACCCCTCTTTCAGGGCAGAAGCAAGAGGCTGAGGTGACGGTTCAAGAAAAAGTAGTAAACTGTTACGCAAACTTGTGTTCCAAACTGGAAAGGGAACCCTTAGAATCCAGCCAGGTCCAAAGACAGGGAGCCTCTTCAGTTACCTTTAAAAAAACTTTTAAGAGGGCAAAGATAAATCTTCAGGAGGCCATGACATCACCCTGCATCACGGCCGGGATCTGCCTCCCAGGCGAGAGCCAGGTCCAGATGGTGCTTATCAAGGAAGCTGGTGAGAAGGAGCAGCCGTGTTTATTGTGAGAATGTACAAGATCCTTTGTCACTGTTTATTGACCATTCCTGACACATCAAATGACCAATGTGTACTTCATCATCTTGTTGGATGGATATTAGTGTAAGAACTCACTCATCAAGTCCTAAAGAACTGCCTCTGCCTGAGGCATTCTGCAAAGACTTAAAGTTGACCATAAATTCAACCAGACATTTTCATCCCTTCCAGCCCCATGAGCTGGACGTTCTACATTTGCCAACTGACCCAAGTCTTGCAGGAAGTGGAAAGGCCTTTGTTCGAATCCCCACCACCAACAAATGGCTGCTTTGTCTCACCTGGGGCCACCTCACCCAGGATACTAAGAATGGCTAACGTCTATTGAAAGAGGGCTACACACCAGGCACGGATTGTTAGCGCTTTTCCGGGGATTTTTACACTCAGTATTGGCAGATGCATGAAGTGAGGTCGACAGTCATCCCTCTCTGGAGATGAGGAAGTGGAGAGGCAGCAGGATTAAGGGGCTGCCCAAGGCCCCGCGGTTAATGCCCGGAGGAGCCAGGCCACAGGCCCGGGACTGGTACCCTCGCCTCCTGGAAGCTCATGGCACAAGTCACTCAGGGAGGAGAGGGGACCCCTGCTTTCTGTGTGAAGCTGATTCACAGCTCTGAGTGAGCCTGCCTCCACACAGCAAACACCACCAGTTCAGGCAAACAGTCGGTCACCTTTTCAGGGAAAGAACATCCCTAAGTGAAATGAAGTTGCTCAGTCGTGTCTGACTCTCTGCGACCCCATGGACTATAGCCTACCAGGCTCCTCTGTCCATGGAATTTCCCAGGCAAGAGTACTGGAGTGGGCTGCCATTTCCTTCTCCAGGGGATCTTCTCGACCCAGGGATCGAACCCGGGTCTCCCACATTGCAGGCAGACGCTTAACCGTCTGAGCCGCCAGGGAAGATGTAGAACATCCTGAGGATCATACCAAATACACAGACACTGCGTGGATCTGGAAGCTTCCTGGAGAGTGACTATTAGAAAATAGGAAAGGTCTTAAAACCCAAGACCTGCCATCTCTAAGTTATCCTGCCCTCGGAATTCTACACACTACCCTCAGAACCTCTCATGAAAAACTTCAACCAGATCTGAAGTTGATTCAACCCCATTTCAAATGTTCATTTTTCTCCCCAACTTTCTGAATAAGTCAAATTTTAAACAAGTAGAGTAATTTGCACTCTAGTAAATGAGTAGAACTTAGCTTTCTTGTTGAACACTGAAGTAAAAGATAAACTATCTAATGGGTGAGAGGTTATCCTAATATTATTGTGAGAAAACCCATAAATCATGGTTATTTTAATTTTTCTAAAATTATATTTTTTTCCTAATATGTAACTTTTCCTTTTTGTTATTTGGGACAGTTTTGCCTGAGACAACTTCGCATATTCAGACAACTAGGACTCACCCATGAGAGGTCAACATTCACTTTGGAAATTTAAAAAAAACTTTTGAAACACTGAAATAAGGACTTCCCTGGTGGTCCAGTGGTAAGGAATCTGTCTTCCAATGCGAAGACCACCACTTCATCCCTGGTTGGAGGACTGACACCCCACATGCCATGGGGCAATCAAGCCTGCTCACCACAACTAGAGAAGCCTGCATGACAGAGTGAAGACACAGCCCAGCCAAATAAATAAACAAAATAATTAAAAACACTGAAATGAAGTTGGGTGGGTACTTACCCTCTTATTTATTTTAAAACAGAATTATAACGGGGTGGGAGGTGGGAGGGAGGTTCGAGAGGAAGGGGATGTATGTATACCTATGGCTGATGCATGTTGATGTATGGCGGAAACCAACAGTATCATAAAGCAATTATCTGTCAATCAAAAAGAAATTAATTTTAAAAAACAGAGTTTTAACAGTAGCTTAAAGAATTGAGGCATAAGAACTCATGTAGAATTACACTAGCCTACCAAGTGAGCTCTTATTTTCCCTCCCAGATTCACACATAACCTTACACATCTACAAACCTGTTCAAACCACATTCAGCCATGCTGATCAGAACTGGAATTGTCTTTGTACAAACTGTCAATCAGGGCCTGTCCCTCTTCCATCCAGCCAGCCTCTGGCTGGGTTTTTATGCGCTCCATGTCCTTTATCAACACTGCTGTGTGCACAGTCACTCGGTCGTGTCCGACTCTTTGCGTCCCCCTGAACTGTAGCCCACCAGGCTCCTCCGTCCACGGGATTTCCCAGGCAGGATTACTGGAGTGGGTTGCCATTTCCTTCTCTAGGGAATCTTCTTAGATCAGGGATCAAACCCTCATCTCCTGCATTGACAGACGGGTTCTTTACCACTGAGCCATCAGGCAAGTCCTCTTTATGACACTAATGGAATCTTGAATATTTACATATGTTTTTGACTTTCTCAAAATGCCTTTTCATCCATCATCTCTTTTAATCCTTACAGCTCCATTTTTTTTGAACAGTTGCCATGCAACATGTGGGATCTTAGTTCCCCGACCAGGGATTGAATTCATGCTTCCTTCAGTGAAAGCACCGAGTCTTAATCACTGGACCACCAGGGAATCCTTGTAGTAACTCACGAGGCATCATTGCTTTCCTAAATGCAAGCAGCAGATTACATGCTGTGCTGTGGCAAACAGGTATGGCCACAGCAGACCGTCTGCAGAGGGCCAGGCGTGTTAGGTTTCGTGGGCACACGGTCTGTCTCAGCTACAGCCCCTCAGCTCTGCCCCTTCTGTGCCAAGGCGGCCGCGGGCACCACGCACAGGAATGGGTGTGTGCCTGTTGTCATGGGACTTTACTGACCGACGCTGGAAGGCCTGTCATTTTCACAGGTCACAAAACAAGCTACTTCTTTTGACTCAAGCATTAAGAATGTACAAGCCACTCTCAGCTCTTAGACACCCAGGTGGTGGGCCAAAATGACGCTTCTGTGGGCCATGGTGTGCCAACCCCGGGTCCAGCACTGAGGCTCTCGGAATCAGGAAGAACTTTGAGAGAGCTCTGAGGTGTTTAACTGCTTCTCTCGAGAGAGCAAAGCATCAAATCCCTCCCGAAAGTGACAGTCCACCGTGACCTGCTAAGATGAGACCCCAGATACTCTGACCCCTGGCTCAGTGCACTTCCTACCAGAAGCCACTGCTTAAAATAAAGGCAAACAGGAGGCCAATTAAAGAGATAACTGTAACGGCCGCTCAGCACGGCGCCCGGAGACGAGGACGCCCAGTGCTGGCTGCGCGGCCGCCGCGGCCCCTGCAGACAGCGCCTGGCACGCGTTCAGAGAGCTTGAGAAACATCACTGGTTGAGCAGAAATCGTTCCAAGAAACAGCACCGTGACTTTTGCTCTGCTGCTGCCTCTCTCTGCTGCAAGTTAACTCCTCCTCTGCCTGAGTTGTGAAACCTGTAAAACAAAGCAAATTGACAGTTTGCCATTTTAGCTTTTATGATAGTTTCACTTTTTATACCCGCTTCACCAGTCCCCAAACAGAATGCCACCACCAGTCAAGGCGGACTGTTTTGCAGGTAATCGATGACAAAGCGCTCGGTTGTGTAACTGCCAGGACAAAGCAGTTTAGCTCTCTCCCTTCTTCTGTTGCTTAAAATCCATGTTGTGTCGCCTCTGTTCATTTATTTTCTGCTGCTCCAATAAGAACAGACCCTCACTTGCTGGGGTGCAGGGCAGCTGCCCCAGAAACAGCAACTGAGACAGAAGCAGCCGTCCTGAGAGCTGGAGCAGAGACCACCGCGGGGGCTGCGTGTCTGTGTGTGTGTGTGTGTGTGTTGGGGGGGGTCTGTGTATATGAATGTGTGTGGGTGGGTCTGCGTTTGTGTGTAGTCTGTGTCTGTGTCTGAGGGTCTGTGTGTCTGTGTTTGTGTTTGCATGGGGGTGTCTGTGTGTGTGTCTGTGTGTGTCTGTGCATCTGTGTGTGTGTGCATGCACAGAAACTGGAGACAGGGTTAAACTCTCTGGGGAAGGGGAGCAGAATGACCGGAGAACAACAGAACAGAAAGCTACCTGAGCACACGTGGGCAGAGAAAAGGACATTGCGCTTACTTCCTCTTCTCTGAAGCATTTCCTCCCCCCCGCTCCTCCTGGCTTCCTCCTGTCTCTGGGGCCTGGAAGCTCTGAGTCATCCCGTCTGGACAAAGGGCCCTGGTGGCCAAGCCCCTCCAGCCCAGCCCCTGCCCCCCCACCTCTGGACCCCGAGCACTTTGCCCCCCTCCACTGTGCGCAATCCCTGTGTGCGGTGGTCCTATGGGGCTCTGCCAGCCCCGCTTCTGGCCTAGGAGCCCCCGAGACAGAGCTGGGTTCACCTCATCCGTCACTGGATGCCAGCGCCTCGCAGAACGTCTGACACACAGCGGCAGAAAGTTTGTTCAGTGTCGCTGAGTGAGTGAATGACCCTGATTCCAAAAGTGAAAAAGAAAAAAAAAATCCACAGAAATATGAGCCAATGCTTTTCAGTGAAGCTTCAGTGCTGGTCACATAAATACCTATTGCCCTGATGGGAAAGCTGGACTGAGCCCAGAGCCCACTTTGATTTCCAGAGGAGCTGTGGACCCCAAGGAGCCACTGGCCTTCTAGGGTGAAGGGCTGCGGGAGGTGCTGGGGTTTATTTACACAGCAATGCACCCAGCTGGCAAGAGGCCTTGGCTCTTCCAAGTCCTAAGACTTCTGGAAGAAGGGTCAGCAGGGAATGCTGTGATGTGAACCCAGTTCTTCAGCATCATTTCAAGTGAGACTTCCAGAAGTATCCAAAGAAGCAAAGCAGTAATAAACTGGAAAGTCAAAGAGCTGTGCCCACACTTCCGTGGTGGCTCAGTGGTAAAGAATCCGCCTGCCAATGCAGGAGACAGGGGTTCAATCCCTGGTCCGGGAAGATCCCATGTGCTATGGAGGAACTAAGCCCGTGCCATGCTCAGCAACAAGAGAAGCCACTGCAATAAGAAGTCCAGGCTCCACAGCTAAGAGTAATTCCCAGTGTCCACACCTGGAGAAAAGCCCACACAGCAATAAAGACCCAGCACAACCATAAATACATGTATTAAATAAGATAAAAAGAGCTGTCCCCACAATATACCCTCTCTGTTCCACAGATGCTTCATCCAAAAAATGGGCAGCATTGACCGTATTTCTCCCACCTTACTCCTAACCTGAAATATTACCAAGCAATTTGCATGTTGCTTTATTCAGGCTTCTTTTTTAATACATGTTACACTTTCAACATCTATTAAGCATCTACTATGTGACAGGCGCTGAGCTGAGTTCTGTGGGGAAACAGAAGAACAGAATGGTGCTTCCGAGAAGCTCGTGGTCAGTTGGAGGAAATAGGGGAGTCGAGCTAACCATTGATATTCAACAGACTTTTATTTAAGCATCTACTAAATGCCAGGTGTTAAAAAAGACAGTAGGTTAAATGAATTAATTAGACCAATAATTCAAAGGAAAAGGTCAGCAAAGACTTAAATCACTGTCACACACAGTACGTGGTAGAGCAGGCTGGAACACACGGCATTAAGCACCGAAACTTGGCTTTGCGAGGGGGTCAGAGTCGCTGCCATGGTCTCTGTTCTTAACTGGACCTTGAAGAATGAACAGAAACCCACAGAAGCGGTGCAGAGGGGCAGGCGAAGGAGGAAACTTACGGACCGAGTGTAGAGGTTAGGTGAGGACCAGGCCCCAAACATTACGATCTAGAGAATAGCAAGCATGCAGGCAGTTAGAGGGAAGCCAGCTGGAAAGGGAAGGGGGTACCATGCTAAAAATAAAACGGGTGACATGCCCCATGAAGCAATGGTGAACCATGGAAGCCAAGGAGCCAAGGAAGGGAACCCATGCTCGGATTTAAGAAAAGCTACGGGTGACCGAAAGGAGCAGGAAAGGAAACACCCGAGCCGGCAGCCCCAGGCCGGTGTTTTGATTCCCATGCAAGTGCACGTCTGTCCATACATCCAGCTGGACCATGCCCCCGAGGGCACTGCAAGGTGGCGGGATCTGCTGAGGATGGAGAAGCCAGTTTTCATGATGCAGGAACAGCAGACGGAGGACACAGAGAGGTGGTAACTGATGCGGGTCCAGACAGCGTCTTCTCACTGAGGGGAACATGTCTCATTGACCCACATTGCCACCAGCGTCTCACAGAGGAGGGAGGCAGGCTCGTGGGAAGGCTCACACCGGAGCTTTCAGAAGGTGAGCCAGCAGGGGCTTGAGAAGGAGCACGTGCAGTGGGCATGAGTGGGGGGTCAGCCTCAGCTCAGGTCCTCTCCGCGGGGTGGCCAAGATATCCCCCACATAGCAACCCTTTGCAACTTTCAAAGCACTGTGCCCCTCTCTCGAACACACAGCTGGCTTCTGGAGGAGATACTGAGAGGGACGCCCTGCTGAAATGACTCATGGCTCGAGAGTGCCGGAAAGACGAGTCACGCTAGAACAAGGCAAAGCGACATCACAGCCGCTAAAGAAAGAAAGGGCCATTCAAGGCTGACAGGTGTGTGACATCTGCAACTCAGAGGTTTATTCACAACCACTTAGTCTCAAAGCATTCCCACTTGCCCATCAAATAAAATCTAAAAACAAACGAATTCCACAAGCCTCATCAGAGCCACACACAGACGCAAACCGATCATGGTGATTTAGAAAGTCAGGATTTATATTTTACATTCAGTTCTATTTCTAAATTAGGAAAGGTTTCCAGATCATTATTGTACTCACTATAGGCTCTACTGTTTTTCGAAACTGCTACACCATAAAACACAGGTTATGAGTGTTAAACTAATAAAAGCAATAATGCAAATGCCAGGTCACCAGGCATTCATCCAGAAGTCAAGCACGGTAAAGTACTTTGGTCAAAAGATTACAGTGTAACTGAAGCCCTGTAATACATTATACTGAATATAAATTATTAATGTAATTTAATTTTAAGTGTTAGCTAAATGCTTACTAGAGTATTTTAAAAGAAAAACAACCTTGAGACACACAAAAGCAAGTTGGTAAAATATTATAAAATGTGATAGGGAATAATTTTGGTCTTAGCTCTGGGTACACTAATACTTAACTGACAATTGGTCTTCTGGGATTTTTTTGGTTGTTTCATTCTACATCAAAGAAAAGAAAAGCCCACAATTCTTGCCATATGGTAAGGAACATTTTCTAGATTATTCATTTCTACTTGCCTTAACACCTCACTATTGCTACAACCAATCGCTTCTCCTCAATACATACACTGTGGCTTCGTCTCAAATACTCACCTCTAGTGGGGAAATTCAGTATCATGGACTGGATGGACTTGGTCCAAGACTGAGCCATACAGTTATAATCAGAATCTTACTGAGTCAACAACTATGAATACTTGTACAATTTTCTATACACATTGACAAATGGCTTTTAGTAAGAGTTATACCTAATCACAGGGGCTTCTCTGGTGGCTCAGTGGTCAAGAGTCTGACTGCCAATGCAGGAGACGTGGGTTTGATTCCTGGGTTGAGACGACCCCCTGGAGGAGGAAACAGCAACCCACTCCAGCATTCCTGCCTGGAGAATCCCATGGACAGAGGAGTCTGGCGGGCTACAGTCCACGGTGTCTCAAAGAGTTGGACATGACTTAGTGCACGCCCACCCCCCCCGACACACCCATGATTCACTGCAAAGATGGGTGAGACCGGCCTTCTCTTTAAATCCCAGTGCTGCTTCCAGGCCAATAAATGGCCCTCTCCCCCATGTGCCATCCGGGCTCGTCTGCTCAAGCTGCCGTAACAAAGGGGCCCAGACCAGGGGCCTGAGACAACAGAAGTGTATCCGCCCAGTTCTGGAGGCTGGAAGGCCAAGATCAAGGTGCCAGCACAGCTGGTTCCTTCGGAGGCCTCTCTCCTCCGCTTACAGATGCCGCCTCCTCCCCGAGCCCTCACACGGCCGTGCTTCTGTGTCTGGGTCCTGAGTCCCACTTCTCATAAGGACACCAGTCCCGCTGGACTAGGGCCCAGCTTCATGACCTCCTTTTACCTTACAACTTCTTTAAAGACCCCACCTCCTCTAAGTACAGACACATCTTGAGGTCCTGGGGACTAGGGCTTCGCTGTATGAGTTTCAGCCCATCATATCACCCATGAATGCAACACTTACGAAGGCATCTCCATGGCACACCCAGCAAGGCCACCACCCAGACGTCACCCACACCAACGCAGCACCCACACCTCACCCCGGACTGCAGCGTCTCTTAGGGCCATCTCCCTCTGACTCCTGGTCTCGGTTCTCACCAGGACCTTCAGTGACTCAGCTCCTCTACCTGCTTGGCAGCCCTCCAGCCCCTCCTGATTCACCGCCTCCCCGTCCGCTCTAGAACCCATAGGACAGCCTCTGCCCCCATCACAGCATCAGCACCCAGGCAGGAAGGCCGGCCCCAG